TCTTATGCAACATAAAAAAAATTATGAAAAAAAAATTAAGTGTAAGGCTTTCAGGGAAATAGCCGTCCTATATGTAGGACAGTAGGATAATAAGAGGAAATAAAAGACCATTTATGACAAAACAGAATGTAATCAAAAAGTGTAGTTTATTAGATAACTATTGATTATATTTTCCATTGTTATATGTAATTTACTAGATTAACACTATTTATGAATGATATGTTTCAAAACACTTGACACACACTCCAACATCACATTTCTTGCAACGTGTCAAACATTTTTTGTGACATTGACGACAGCGTGTTTGCTTCGATTGAGGAATAACCAGATGATTCATTTGGTCTTTACGACTATCAGCATGTTCATGATGGGAGGGTCGGCTAGGCCCTCTTTTGGCATTTTTTCTGTTTGATTCAATCAAAGCAATTGCTACCCTTCTGCGAAAGCCAAGATGATCCAGTTTTCCGTGATTTATTTTATATAACTGCCATGCATTATGTTCGGCAAGATCAATCATGTGTGTGAGCAACGGCATGTACCATTTCTTACCTCGTATACCAATTCGGTAATGTGAAATATTTTCATCAGACCGATCCACTCCTCCCATATATTTGTTATAGATGGACACCATATGTGGTTCTTCTATGACAATGTTTCTCTTTTCACTTTGTGAGAAGCGTTTGGCAGATTGTTTAGGATTTATTCCTACAGCATTAGAAGCAATACTGAATATATTATTGTCATGCCATTTAGCAATAATGAACGTGTTGTCATGTGTCGTTCGGTAATCGACAGCACCACGTTCCTTTTTTTTCAGTAACTTCGATGTAATCAGAGGACAACTAGATGTCCTGTTTTCTCGAACTGTCCCAGTGCAACGAAGGCCTTTCTTTGTTATCTCTTCCAGCAAGGGTGTCCCAGTAAAAAAATTATCAAAAACTACGTGGTAAGGAAGGTCGAAGCCACGTGAAATCAGCACATAACAAAAAGTGAGAACAACGCTTGCACCCAGCCCCAATTCTTTATATATTGGATTGCACATAGTTGTAGCACCTTGGTATGGTTCCATCCATAAAACATACCCTAACCGTGTAGCACCAACCCAAGCTTTGAACCCGTACCTAATAGGTTTACCTTTTATGTGCTGTTTGCAGCCATGTCTACCATAGTAGGGGATCATGGCCTCATCTACACTGTAATGCTCTTCAAGAGGAGAAAACTCTAAAAACTTTTTATTTAGAAGTGTAACTAGGGGGCGTACTTTTGTGTATTTGTCTTGCAAATCCAGATTATCATTGACATGAAGGTGGCGAAAAATAAAGTCAAATCTATCCCTAGTCATAGCCGAGCTGATCAATTCATTCTTTGTATCAGGGGAGTTTTCCCAATACATTCTTCTACGGGGGAGCCATGAATAACCACTAACCAACAATATGCCGATGAGACATTTCATATCTTCAGTGGTTATGTCTCCAGGCAAATTCTTTTTGACAGCATATTTATTGCTCTCAGACACCAACAACGAAATAACATCTTCATCTAAGAAGTTTTCAAACCACTCAATTGGGCGCTTATCTTGGCAAGCGCCTTGAACATCTGGCCAATTCACGGGATTTTTTGCCAAGTCCCGTTTTCTCCATGCGTAGGTACGCCTACGTTTAGTTCGACCTGTAGAATCAGAAGGTTCTTCTTCTGTATCACTCACCATAATCTGCCCTTGAATCATTACTTCAGCCGGTTGAAGCAGAATGTTTCGTGGCAAATTATTCAAAGTTACATTATCTTCTTCACCCGAATCTTCGTCAGTGAGACAGTCAGGATCAACAGGAGGAGGTAGAATACATATCAGTCGTTCTCTATAATCTTCTTCATTATCAGAAACATTTTCTAAAGCATCTAAAATTTCATGCGCAGCTAACGGTCTGTAAAGAAAAAGTTGTATAATTGTACTAAAATCATGTATATTATCCTACTGTCCTATATATAGTACGCTAGTATTTGTAACAAGCTATACGTAATCTATTTATATTATTTTGCTAGAATATTTATTTAGTACAAAAGTTAAGGTTATCAACTAAATATTAACACAGAAAAAAACAACTCACGAGTAAAATATAACTTTTTATACATACCTGTCATTTGCCATGTCTGCAACGCACTTTTATTACACACTTATAAGGTTAAATATAAGGTAAAAACTGTTAAAATAACTGTCTTTTTATTTTTTCTAATTAAGCTGACACGTTTCTTACTGCAAATCATAGCACTAAATAATCTTAGATAAAGAGGGTATTCTGATTTTTTTTCTATTTCTACTGTCCTAAATATAGGACAGTAGGCTTATCTGGGTTAAAGTATTGTATTCACAATGATAACTTATTACAAAAGATAGTAATATTACACTTGTTTTATATTTAGAATTATCTTAAGAGATGAGCGTGATCACGTAACGATGTCCCATAAAGAAATGCCTGCCTGCCCCTTCCCTGTATCGGTGACGTGAGCTGGCGTCCCTAAAAAAACCGCTTTCTCTTTGCAAGCATCGCGTCCCTTAACTGTTTTTGTCTCACCAATGCTAACACGACACGTGTCACATTCCAAACACACGAATTAGCGTCTATTAATAAGTAACAAAACAACGCCCTCTATAATAAAACTAAGAACTATTTGATAAGTATACCGATGATCACGTCACCTGTACAATTGAGTGAGAACTTAAAATAAAGCAATCTATCGTTATGATTTATGATTAAGGAGCTGGGCAGCAATCGTCGTAGGCATGGTCACCAACGGATGTCCGACATATACTTTGTTAGCACTGGTTGTACCAATTACACAATTGTGTTTTGTATCCAGTCTATCCTGAGCTCGCTTTGTACGATTTGCCTGTGCATTTAACGGTCAGTTTATACTGGTCTTGTATAGCTTGATGTGTAGCCATTTGCACTTCGCCTCTCCGAAGCAGGGTTGTTGCAAATATCAGCATCAGCATCGGCGGAATATCAGCATTATTGTCCACACCAGCATCAGCGTCCGCAATAATTGTTGCTGATGTTAGATCCTGATGTTCAAAATTCGTGTCGCGACATGACCGGCGGTGGGCGGAGTTAATGTGGCATGTGCCGCTGGCGCTTCCGAGTTTTGGCCAATCAAAATACATATATTTCATAACAAATCGTCAATAAATATTGCAAGCATTGTAAGCAAAGTGCAGTACCTATGCAGAGCGCATTGTTTTGCGCGTGTTTATGATTTTTAAAATGTCTCCCACATTAAAAAGCGGAATTTGGCAGTACTTCAAATTAGTGAATCAAGATACCGCAAACTGTAACATATGCAAGAAAAATTATTCACGCTAAGGACGTATGTACCAATACCGCGCTAAAAAATCATTTGAAATCAATACATCCCGATGAGTAATACACGTTTTTAACCAGTGAATCTAAAGGAAATTCGATTAAAAATGTAAGTAAATACTTAAACTACTTCAGGAATACCTAAATCAACCAAAATTGACAGTTTTTCAAAACTGCATTACGAGATGGAATAGCACCTTTTACATGCTAGAGTAATTATCCCAACATACCAAGTATCATACCTGAAGTATGGAAGATAATGGAAGACTGTGTAAACTTGTTGGGACCCTATGAAGAAAGTACACGGGAACTGAGCAATAATTCAAATGAGTCGATTTCATCAGTTATTCCGCTCATTCATTTACTGAAAAAAAAAAACTGGACGAGCAATTTGCTTGCCTTGATAACTTAGAGTCGCCGATATCACATTTGGTAACAAACTAATTCACTAATTAGTTCCTCATATGCAGTTTTACTGTCATAAAATACAAAGAAATCATTTACGAATAAATCAATGTGAACTTTACCATTTTTTACAACTTTAATGTAATGTGCAAATAAGATCTTGCTTGGAACATTAAAGTTGAGCAAAAGAGCAATTTCTAGGCTCAAACAGTCAGCTGTTTGAGGCTAGAAATTGCTTTTTTGAGCTTTAATACTTTATTATGGGAACTATATTTTTGTCACCAAAATTTATATTTGTCATCAAGTTGTATCACCTAATAAATAGATCTATCGCCACGAAATATTTTCGTTCTCAGGTAAACAAAGAGTGTTCCCAGGTATGAATTACCAAATTATTGTTAATATAATCATAATGTGTAAAATATGAGATGGATTACCAATAAAATTGTAGTGCATTACATGAATATAAACTTCGTTCTTATAATAATAGTTTTATTACTTAAATAATAGCTTTGTGCTCAGAATGGTAGATCTGTCACCAAATAAATCGATTATCCCTGACTGCGACTCCTTTTTATTTGTTATTTTGTCACCACGTTATGTTGTTCACTACCGTGGGAGAGCCATGCTTCGGCACGAATGGGCCGGCTCGACCGGAGTAATACCACGGCCTCACAGAAAACCGGTGTGAAACAGCGCTTGCGCTGTGTTTCACCGAGTGAGTGAGGGTACCGGAGGCCCAACCCCCCCCCCCTCATAATGTCGCAGTTGATTCAAGAGTTTCTACCCCAGGAGGGTACCAACTGCGTTGGAGAATCCCTCTCTGGACGTCCATTTTCAGAACTCAACTACCCTGAGCGTGGACGTCCAGGCCGCCCCACATCGTACTCTGGGGGGGGCAAAACTGCGCATCATAAAGCTGGAGGCAAGAGCAGAATAACCATGGCACCCCTTGCCACGCTGAATGTGGACTTCTGCAACATAAGGGGATTACACACCAACCTCAATGCTGTCCATCACCACCTAGAGACAGCAAAGCCGGCCTTGCTCTTTTTGACTGAGACGCAGATATCGTCTCCGTTGGACACATCCTACCTCACCTACCCTGGGTATGGACTGGAACATTCCTTCCTGCCTAGGGCCGGGGTGTGCGTGTACATCAGGGACGATATCAGCTCACGTCGCCTCAGTAATCTTGAAGGTAGGGACCTGTCCACCTTATGGCTGCGTGTAGATAACGACGACCACCCCCGTGTCTACGCGTGCCTATATAGGTCCCATAGCGGTGATAGCGAGACTGACCGACTCATGGACCACATCCAGACGGCTGTAGATCTTGTGCAGGGGCAGATATCCTCAGCGGAAGTGGTCTTGCTTGGCGACTTCAACGCCCATCACGCCGACTGGCTCTGCTCCAGTAAGACTGACCACGCGGGGAGATCTGTCCACGACTTGGCTCTTGCTTCTGGCCTAACACAACTGGTGACCGTGCCCACGCGAATCCCGGATGTGGAAGGCCAGAGGTCTTCACTGTTGGACCTTCTGCTGACCTCTCACCCGGACGGCTACAGCGTATCCGTCGAAGCCCCTCTTGGCTCATCGGATCATTGCCTTGTCCGGAGCTCTGTATCTTGGACGTGCACACCGCGACTACAAGAGGTACGCGGTCGCCGTGTATGGCACTATAGGTCGGCAGATTGGGATGGGATGCGGTCCTTTTTTGCATCCTACCCTTGGAGGCGGGCTTGCTTCTTGCAGGATGATCCCAACGCCGCTGCCAATTCTGTTGCTGATGTGGTGCTGCAGGGGATGGAGCTTTTCGTCCCATCTTCTCTGGTCCCCGTCGGTGGCAGATATCGGCCCTGGTTTGATGCTTCTACCAGAAAGGCCTCACGCAGAAAGCAGGAGGCCTACCAAGCCTGGGTCGATGCGGCGGTGGCACGGGATGTAAATACCAGTGCACTAAAAAAGGAGTATAACTTTGCCTCCAAGTCCTTCAAAAGAGCTATTGCGGGTGCCAAGTCGCAGCACATCGGTAGAATTGGTGAGAGGCTGGAGCGCCTTCCTTCAGGAACTCGTTCATTCTGGTCGCTCGCCAAAGCTATCGAGGGCAATTTCTGCAGGCCGTCATTTCCACCTCTGCACATGGGTGAGGATTCGTTGGCTCATAACGCAAGGGATAAGGCTCAACTTTTGGCAAAAATCTTTGCATCCAACTCGACACTGGATGACGGTGGGCGCGAGCCTCCTGTTGTGCCTTGGTGCGGAAGGTATATGCCGGATGTGCGGTTCCACCAGCGCACGGTACGTTTGGCGCTTTTATCCCTTGACGTCCATAAGTCGAGCGGGCCTGATGGGATCCCACCCATTGTTTTGAAAATGTGCGCCCCCGAGTTGGCCCCAGTTCTAACACGTCTTTTTCGGCTCTCTTATTCCTCAGGCGTAGTTCCGACGTCCTGGAAGACAGCTTTAGTCCACCCAATCCCTAAAAAAGGTGATCGATCTAACCCGTCTAACTACAGACCGATAGCCATAACTTCCCTCTTCTCGAAAATAATGGAGTCCATTATTAACTGCCAGCTCCTGCGTTACTTAGAGGATCATCAGCTGCTCAGTGACCAGCAATACGGTTTTCGTAAAGGTCGGTCTGCTGGTGATCTCCTTGTTTACCTAACGCATCGGTGGGCACAGGCGATCGAGTCTAAGGGGGAAGCGTTGGCAGTAAGTTTAGACGTGGCGAAGGCCTTCGATCGGGTTTGGCATAGAGCGCTTCTTTCGAAGCTTCCTTCCTACGGACTTCCCGAGAAATTATGCAAATGGGTCTCCTACTTCCTTGCAGACAGAAGCATTAAAGTCGTCGTCGACGGTGAATGCTCTGACTTGATGTCTGTAAATGCAGGCGTCCCTCAAGGCTGCGTGCTATCGCCTACATTGTTCCTCCTCCATATCAATGACATGCTGCAAATCAGCGGCATTCATTGTTATGCGGATGACAGCACAGGCGATGCCTACTACACCGGCCGCGCTAACATTTCTCGGGAAAACGTCATAGAGAGCCGAAACAGACTCGTGTCTGAAATCGAGACCTCTTTAGGGAGAATCTCTGATTGGGGTGGACTTAATTTGGTCCAATTTAACCCCACTAAGACACAAGTCTGCGTGTTTACCGCTAAGAAACTGCCGTTGGTCGTCTCTCCTCAGTTTCAAAGCACCCCCCTAACTGCCTCAGCCGGTATTGGAATACTTGGTGTCAATATTTCGAGCGACGTCCAGTTTTGCGGTCATTTAGAGGATAAGGCCAAATTAGCCTCGAGGAAGCTTGGTGTGCTCAATAGATCGAGGCAGTATTTCACCCCGACCCACCGCCTGCTTCTATATAAGGCACAGGTGCGGCCCCACATGGAATACTGTTCTCATCTTTGGGCGGGGGCACCCCAGTACCAGCTTCTTCCTCTGGACCGCATTCAGCGGCGTGCCGTTCGGATTGTTGGATGTCCGGGTGTTTCAAACCGGCTCGACACTTTGGCAATGCGTAGAGATGTAGCTTCATTGTGCATTTTCTACCGCTTATACCACGGGGAGTGCTCTGAGGAATTGTTTGACCTGATACCTGCCGCATCTTTTCGCCATCGACCCTCACGACAGCATATGCATCCCCATCATATAGATGGTTGGCAGGCCACAACTGTGCGGTTCTCACGTAGCTTCCTGCCTCGCACAGCAAAACTGTGGAATGATCTGTCGTCGGCGGTATTTCCGAACCGATACGACCTTCAAACCTTCAAGAGAAGAGCGTACTCCTTTTTAAAGGGCCGGCAACGCACCTGTGACTCTTCTGGTGTTGCGGGTGTCCATGGGCGGCGCTGATTGCTTACCATCAGGTGATCCGTCTGCTCGTTTGCCTCCTATTCCATAAAAAAAAAAAAAAAACCAATACATTAGTTACATTTTATTTCGTTCAGTTATTAAAATAATGTATTCGTTACCAATTTAATACATCAGTTTATAATTTTAATGAAAATATGTTCAAAGGGAAGAGGAAGGGAAGGGAAACAAATTGGCGCGCTTTCGGGCCTCAACGAATGGGTTGTAGGTTGGTTGTAGGTACGATCATACGATGCGCGGCGCGGGCAGCGAGATGCAAGTTTACTTCATTCGCGATTACGTTAATTGTTCAGGGTGCATTTTATTATCGTTGTGGATAATTTGTTGTTTTAGTTAATTTCTTAACTGTTTATTTTGGATTATGGCATCAAGTAGTGGTGAAGGTAATGCAATTCATTCAAAAAGTTTATCGTCGTTCGTCGAGCAATCATTTGTGGAGAAAGTGCCGATATTTGAGTCTGGTGAGGAAAATACAGACACAGATGAAGGCACCATACCAAAGAAGAAATGGTCG